ATCTACCAAAAACAAAACAAAACAAGACAAAAAGCCTCTCACATTCTCACATTCAGCCAAGGATTTTCTACCTTCTTCATTAGTTTGTTCATTCATAAAATGGGAACATTGAAACACTCATTTCTTTGGATTTAGGAAGAATTTTTCAGAATTATTATTTTTGAGCGCTTCCTTTATTACCCTTTTCATTTTTCATCTTTAGCCAATGGTCCATTTGGATATAAATTAAACTAATCTAGGACTAAAAACCTCACATTGTAAGATACGGAAGTCAGAATTATTGTGCAGTTTGGTGTTTCCTAAGTAATGAAGTAGTTGGGTTGTGGCCTGCTTTCCTGATTCCCACAAACTGACCCTTGAGCTCACTCATCATGTACTCAGGAATCTTTATTCCATCTTAAAGGAGAAAAATGTTTGAATGGATGCTTTATTTATTGGTATTTTTCACACATAGATGTTGCAACATCTTTCATTAATTTGTCAGGAGCCCTTTGGAAGAGACTGATCTAGTAATATTTTATAGATGGGCAAAGAAAGACTCATTTGAGTTATCTATTGCTGTTTAACAAACACTCCAAGACTTAGTGTCTTCTAATAAAAATCATTTTATTATATCTACTAGTTATCTGGGTTGAATGGGTTCAGCTGGGTGGTTCTTCTGCAGCTGTGGTTGGAATCATCTGGAGGCCCCTGTCTGTTCCCTAAGGGTCTCTCCACATGGTTTCTCCATGTGACAGTGTAGCCAGATTTCTTACATAGTGGCTTGGGGCTCCCCAAAAAACATAAAATGTGGAAATTGTTCAAGATTTAGACCCAGGACTGAACAGTGTCGCTGTAGCTATATTCTGGTGGTTAAAACTAGTCACAGAGCTACTCAAATTCAGTGTGAGAGGGAACCACATAAGGGCATAACGCCAGGAGGCGTGACTCATCGGGAGCCATCTTTAGAGACCAGCTCCCACAGCCCAGAAAGGGTAAGTGACTGGCCTAGTGTCACACAGCAAGTTAGTTGCCAAAACAGAAAAGAATCTTGTTTTGCAACTATCTAAAGTATTGTCCTGTCCTCACTACTATATATATGCAAAAATGAGTTGGGAGCCCTACAAATCCCTCAATTAGAAAAAAAGAAAGAGAGAGAGAGATTGCAGGTTTTTCCATGAGTCTGGAAATTCTGTTGCTCAGTATGCTAATTGGGAGCTTTTAAATTATAATTTATAGAAACCAGACTAAAAGAACAAAGAATGTTTGTTGGCTCATGTAACAAGAGCCCAATGGATTGAGTAAGCTTCAGGCACTGCTAGATCCATGGGTTCATGCAATAATATTGGGATCTATTTCTTGCTGTCTTTTGGCTCTGTTCTCATCTGTGTTGGTTTCATTTTCATAAAGGCCTGCTGCATAGCATGACCAATGACTATTTTGTTTCTGTAGCTTGAAATTCTCAAAAAATGTAGTTCTTTTTTCCTGTCTATGCATAGCAATTCCCTGAGACCCACTTGCTCATCCCTATGTGTGGGTGGAGAGTACTTGTGACTGGTAACCCCATCAGTGGGGGAAGGGGCTCCTTCTCAAAGGAAAAGATTCCAGGCAGACAGAAGTAGTAATGAATGTTTACTATACCCAGAGCCTTGTATTTCTTGAAGATTTGTTTCCATATGGAAGCAGTTGAAAACTGGTACCTGTGGGTTACACTCTGAGATGTGTTTTGTCTGACTCGAAGAATATTTTAATATGTTCTTGGAACAACATTTAAAAATCAGAAAATAGTTTATAAAAATCTAGATTTATGGTTTCTCTTTAAAAAAAAAGAAAAAAAAAACAAATCTGGCAGTTCTTGACCTTCCTGTTTTCCAATTTCCTTATCTGTTACATGGAGATATTAATAATACCTAACTCATGAGGTTGCTGCTCCATGGTGAGCAGGTCTATGCAAATCTATCTCTGAAGGCTGAGGAAGCTGAGAGGCCAAAAAAGGAGGCCGACAAATCCAGTCTTGCAGAAGGAAATTTCACAGGGACATACGAACAGGAGCCGTATCTCAGGTAGCCACAAGACCCATGGATTCTCATACCTGCCTTCCAGAAAGTATTCTTAATATATCAAGCTTTTAGCATAAAACATGTGCAGCTGATCATGTGTTCACACTTTCTTGCCAAGACTTGTGACCACTGGAGAGGCTGGATAAGCATCTTTATGAAGGGTTATCTATACTACAGGTATTTTAAAAGATCTTACTGTAGAACAACTTGGTATGTGGGGCCCAAATATCCATCATCATGGTGGTTTTGCTTCAAGATGCCCTCACTCTGGCCATGCAACAAGGTGTTTTCCTACAGTTGTGAGGATTACATGAAATGATGCGTTTAAAGTGTCTTACATTATGCCTGGCACAAGGGGATCAGTCATGAAATGGCAGTCACCCTTCTCATAATTTGCTAGAGATTATACAATCTGGTGTGTTAACAATACCTGGAGCTGTGTTGTGACTTTAGATGAGGCATAAACTCTCCAGTTTGCCGCAATCCCCACCATTCTTTGTTGTCTTACATGCAGCCTGTGTTCCTCATTGATTTTAACTGGCAGCTCCCTGCTATATAGCATTTCTTCTTAGTTTTCATTAGCACTCTCACCTGGACCCTTGTACTACCCTTCCAACCTGGTGTTACTCTTGCTCTCTGGTTTCACTGCTAGGAATAGAAACTGGAAGTAGCATAGTTTCACTAAGTCAGAAATGGTTGGGATTTTCTTCTTAGCACATAAAAATATATGGAGATTGACAATCCATTGTTGATATGGTGGGCTTACTGTCACCAAGGACCCATTCTTCTTCTATATTTCTGTCCTACTATGTCGGTGTGTAGCTTTCATCCTCATGGTTACCCCCAACCATGTTCCAGGATGGCTGCTGAAGCTCCAGTCATCACACTTGCATTCCAGGCAAGAGGTAAGGGAGCTAGAAAAAAGGGCAAAAAAGACACTAGCCAGCTGTCTCCCTCCTCACCCTCTTCTTGGAGAGCTTTTCTCAATGTCCCACCAAAAAAACTCCCTCTTCCGTCTTAGTAGCCACCCATAGCTGTGTGAAAGGTGGGAAATGTAGTCTTTTAGCTGGATAGAGTCCTGATACCAAAGAAAAAGGGGTGAATGGACATTGATTGGGCCACACTCACCTCATTTAGCATCTCCATACAACAGCAAGAGCAATATTTTAAAAATTAAAAGTAGATGACCTATTTGTTTCCTGTTGGTACTCATAAAAATTGAAAAATAAAAGTAGATCACCTCATTCCTGGCTGAAGCCAACATTGTCCTCTTGACCTGCAAAGTCCCACATGGTGCTGGCCCCTGCCTACTTCTCCTGCCTCATCATTTCCCATCACTCTCACTCACTGGGCTTCAGCCTTTGGCCTCCTGGCTGATTGCCTCAGTGATTAAAGGTCCTCACTTTAGCCACATCATCTCTACAACTTACTTGTTATGTGACCATGAGAAAGTTTCTTAACTTCTCTGTACTTTGGAGGATGATAGTAATGATATGTTATAGGGTTGCTGTAACAATTAAATGGGAAAATACATATAAAGCTCTTAAAACAGATTCTGGCATTTAGTAAGGACCATATAAGTACTAACCATTAATATCCATAGTTGTTCAAACACCAAGAACTGTCCTACCTCAGGGCCTCTGTACTTTTTGTTCACTCTGTCTAGAATGTTCTTCTCCCAGATTTTCCTAGGACTTTTGCTCTCATGTCACTCAGATCTCTGCTCAAATTTTTGCTCTTCAGAGAGGCCTTAAAATAGTACTACTCCATCAATCTTTTTTTTTTTTTTTTTTTTTTGAGACGGAGTCTCACTCTGTCGCCCAGGCTGGAGTGCAGTGACGGGATCTCAGCTCACTCAAGCTCCGCCTCCCGGGTTTACGCCATTCTCCTGCCTCAGCCTTCCAAGTAGCTGGGACTACAGGCGCCCACCAGCACGCCCGGCTAGTTTTTTGTATTTTTTAGTAGAGACGGGGTTTCACCGTGTTAGCCAGGATGGTCTCGATCTCCTGACCTCGTGATCCGCCCGTCTCAGCCTCCCAAAGTGCTGGGATTACAGTCTTGAGCCACTGCACCTGGCCTACTCCATCAGTCTTAATTCTCTTTCCCTGCTTCATTTTTTATGACATCTTCACCACCTAAAATTATATGCTTATTTATTATCTTCCTATTTCTTCTAGAACATTAGATCCTGGACAACACGGCTATATTCCAGCCCTAAGAGCACTTCCTGGCATGTTGTAGATGCCAGATAAATAAATTTGGATGGATGGATGGATGGATGTGTGGATGAGTATATAAAAGGATGAAATACAGACATGGGTGGATGAATGGATGGTTTTGTAGATAGATACAAATAGATAGATAGATATTGTAGATCAATAAATTGATGGATGGTTGAGTGAATTAAGGGATAGATAAATGGACATACAGATGGATGAATATTTGGGTGGATGAAGTAGATGAATGGATGGAGGATGCATAGATGGATGGATGGGTGGTTGAATAGATGGAGGTAGATGAAGAATGGATGGATGGTTGAATGGATGATTGAACCAGATGGTATGGGATGGTGGTTCGGATGGATGGATGGATGGATGGATGGATGGATGGTTGAACAGATGGAGTGGATGGATGGATGGATGGATGGATGAATAGATGGAGTGGAATGGGTGGTTGAACAGATGGAGTAAATGGATGGATGGAGGAGGAATGGATGGATGGTTGAATTGATGGAGTGGATGGATGGAGGTTGAATTGATGGAGTGGATGGATGGACAGACGGATGGATGGATGGATGGATGGATGGATGGATGGATGGATGGATGGTTTGAATGGATGGTTGAATAGATGGAGTAGATGGATAGATAGATGGAGGTGTTGATAGATGGAGGGAAGGTTGAATGGACTGATGGTATGACAAGGAACCATTCTAACTCTGTCCCTGTCACTTTTGTTTTTCAGGCCGCCCCCCACCTCTACTGCCCTTGTGTGCCTCTGTGTCTTTGCTGGGTGGCCTGACCTTTGGTTATGAACTGGCAGTCATATCAGGTGCCCTGCTGCCGCTGCAGCTTGACTTTGGGCTAAGCTGCTTGGAGCAGGAGTTCCTGGTGGGCAGCCTGCTTCTGGGAGCTCTCCTTGCCTCCCTGGTTGGTGGCTTCCTCATTGACTGCTATGGCAGGAAGCAAGCCATCCTCGGGAGCAACTTGGTGTTGCTGGCAGGCAGCCTGACCCTGGGCCTGGCTGGTTCCCTGACCTGGCTGGTCCTGGGCCGCTCAGTGGTTGGCTTCGCCATTTCCCTCTCCTCCATGGCCTGCTGTATCTATGTGTCAGAGCTCGTGGGGCCACGGCAGCGGGGAGTGCTGGTGTCCCTCTATGAGGCAGGAATCACCGTGGGCATCCTGCTCTCCTATGCCCTCAACTATGCACTGGCTGGTACCCCCTGGGGATGGAGGCACATGTTCGGCTGGGCCACCGCACCTGCTCTCCTGCAGTCCCTCAGCCTCCTCTTCCTCCCTGCTGGTGCAGATGAGACTGCAGCACACAGGGACCTCATCCCACTCCAGGGAGGTGAGGCCCCCAAGCTGGGCCTGGGGAGGCCACGGTACTCCTTTCTGGACCTCTTCAGGGCACGGGATAACATGCGAGGCCGGACCACAGTGGGCCTGGGGCTGGTGCTCTTCCAGCAACTAACAGGGCAGCCCAACGTGCTGTGCTATGCCTCCACCATCTTCAGCTCCGTCGGCTTCCACGGGGGATCCTCAGCCGTGCTGGCCTCTGTGGGGCTTGGCGCAGTGAAGGTGGCAGCTACCCTAACCGCCATGGGGCTGGTGGACCGTGCAGGCCGCAGGGCTCTGTTGCTAGCTGGTTGTGCCTTCATGGCCCTGTCCGTCAGCGGCATAGGCCTCGTCAGCTTTGCCGTGCCCATGGACTCAGGCCCAAGCTGCCTGGCTATGCCCAATGCCACTGGGCAGATGGGGCTCCCTGGAGACTCTGGCCTACTGCGGGACTCCTCTCTACCTCCCATGCCAAGGACCAATGAGGACCAAAGGGAGCCAATCTTGTCCACTGTTAAGAAAACCAAGACCAATTCCAGATCTGGAGACCCTTCAGCCCCTCCTCAGTCGGCCCTGAGCTCTGCCCTCCCTGGGCCCCCTCTGCCCGCCCAGGGACACGCACTGCTGCGCTGGACTGCACTGCTCTGCCTGATGGTCTTTGTCAGTGCCTTTTCCTTTGGGTTTGGGCCAGGTAAGTGGAGTTTTCTTGCAGGTGACTCTGGAGCCTCCTACCCCTCCTAGGGGGAAGTTTGGGGACTTCCCACCCTGACTACCTGGCAGGGTGTCAGCAGGGCACTAGAGGTGGGTTGACCATGAAGCTTCAGGGCCCCTCACTTACTAGCAGTTGCTCCTCCCAGCGCCAGTGCCTAATTTTATGTTTGTAATTTGTATTCCTTAAAAGACTCCCCAAGTCATTTGAGCTTCAGGTCCCTTAAAGCCTGGATAGCTCACAACTGGAAGGAATTTAATGAATAGGGTGAAAAACCAATCATCCCAGTTCATCCAAGACTGTTCCCATCTCAGCATTGAAAGTCTCATGTCTCAGAAAACCTCTCAGTCTTCAGCAAACTGAGACCCTACTGGGATTCTTACAGAGGTATGGGGGTGGCAGTTTGGTATCAGGAGCCTGACACTGCAAAATCCCATTGTTGAGAGGCTGCGTGTTTGACCTGATGGTGCCAGGCCCCAGGTCCCACCACAGCCCAGGAGCCCTCCTGCTCTCCCACCCTAGTGACCTGGCTTGTTCTCAGCGAGATCTACCCTGTGGAGATACGAGGAAGAGCCTTTGCCTTCTGCAACAGCTTCAACTGGGCAGCCAATCTCTTCATCAGCCTCTCCTTCCTTGATCTCATTGGTGAGTCCTTCCCAGACAAGTCCGTTTTTTTTCTGTGGCCCAAGCTCCCTACTCTAAAGCAGAAATGTTTGGATTTTCCTGTGTATTAGCTGCAGAACCATTATTCTGTGTAGAAACATCACCAAGTGTCCAAAACGACATCCAGGACCCTTGTACGCACTGTGAAACTCCCCTGGCCAGCTAACGGGTGATAGACTACACCCAGTACTGGTGAGAGGTCATCTGAGGTCAACCGGCAGGTGTAACAGTAGCAATGTTTATTTGCTCCAAACTGGCTTAAACTGGTTCATGACACCTGTTTTTCTTGGCTTTTCTTTTCTTTGGAAGTTTTTCTTGGCTTTTCTTTTCTTTTTAATTTTTTTTTTGAGACAGAGTCTTGCTCTGTCAGCCAGGCTGGAGTGCAGTGGTGCAATCTCAGCTCACTGCAACCTCCACCTCCCAGGTTCAAACTATTCTCCTGCCTCAGCCTCCCGAGTAGCTGGGACTATAGGCGCCTGCCACTATGCCCGGCTAATTTTTGCATTTTTCATAAAGACAGGGTTTCACCAGGTTGGCCAGGCTGGTCTCGAACTCCTGACCTCAAGTGATCCACCCGCCTTGGCCTCCCAAAGTGCTGGGATTACAGGCATGAGTCACCGTGTCTGGCCTGGAAGTTTTTCTCAAATCAAGTTTGGGTGACATCATCTCTTCCTCCCTAGCATTGAAACCCAGTCTGTGGTGTGGTGGGATGGGGTGGAAATTATGTGGGCCCAGAACACCAGGGAATGACTCTGAAATGCTGAGATGCTCATGGCTCCAGACCCTGGTCTTCAGTGGGTATTGCTCATCTGGGCCAGAGTACACAGGTTCCTTCACTGTGGGCCCCAAGGCACAGTTCTTAGGGTTCAGTTATTTTCCTATTCCCTATGGTCAAGAGTTTCCTTCTCAAAGGTGCAGCCACCTTGGGAGGCTGGGGGATGGTGCTGTGGGAAACCCCAGTGGAAGAACCCCCCCCATCATGGCTGTCTTCCACCCCCAGTCTTAGGGAATCCAAGCTTCTCCCTGCAGCCTCAGTCTTCAAGCATTTCCCTTTGTGTGGAGTAAATGAGTAAGAGAGGAGAAAGAAGGAGAGAAACAAGGAAGGGAGGAAGGAAGGGAGGGAGGGAGAAAGGAAGGAAGGAATTTACTGGAATTGTATCATATATCATCCCCATTTCACATATGGGAAAATACATCCTTACCCCATCCAGCCAGGGAGTCAAAAGACTAGAACCAGCCCCACTGACTTCCATACTATTGCTCCTCCTGCTGGCAATAGGTCCAGCTGGTCATGGGAGGCTGCCTAAAGGAGATATGGATATGGCTGTCAGAGGTGAGAATGGCTTCCAAAACATAATTTGTCTTCTGCCTTGACAAAGACCCTTCCTCCACAGCCTCTTCTCTGTCTTGGGCTGGATGACATCAAAGGACTCAGGGTCATTCCCATCTTGGCTGCTGGCTCTGAGACCCACTGGAGGCTCTAGGAAGGAGGCCGACTCCGGGACTGAACTGTGACTTTTGTCCTCTCTCCCAAACCAGTCACAGGCCAAACTGGCTAAAACTCAATTCTCTGAATGATCGATTCACTGAATGACCAATTCATGGAATTTCTGGGTGTTTTGTTGTTGTTGTTTTTGTTTGTTTTTTTGTTTTCTGTTTTTGTTTTTTGTCTTTTTTTTATTTTTGAGACAGGGTCTCACTCTGTCGCCCTGAGTGCAGGGCAGAGTGCAGTGGCATAATCTCGGCTCACTGTAGCCTTAACCTCCGGGGCTCAGCCTCCCGAGTAGCTGGGGCTACAGGTGTGTGCTGTCACGCCCAGCTAATTTTTTTAGTTTTTGTTTTTAGTAGAGACAGGGTTTCACCATGTTGCCCAGGCTGGTCTTGAACTCCTGAGCTCAAGTGATCCTCCCACCTCAGCCTCCCAAAGTGCTGGTATTACAGGTGTGAGCCACTGTGCGGAGCCCAATTCATGGAATTTCTAAGGGTTTTTTTTTTGTTTTTTTTGTTTTTTTTTTTTAACTGAGATTTGCCAAGCTGTGTCTATGCAGCTGTTTGGCAACTCAGCTGGATCCACGATCCTTCAGGCCAGGCTTTTGGAGCCCAAGCACACTCCACGGGATAGTGCTCTAGATGTGGGTGAGGAGGGGTCTGTCCCATAAACACAAGTTGCCATTGTCTCTGTGCTTGTGGACTTGCATCCTAGGTCATCCCTGCCTTTGAGACAATCAGTGAGATTTCCGCTTTAAGGTACTTCACTGACAGCTTATTGGTCATTCTGCAAATTGACCATTGGGAACATTTGCTTTGAGTGAACTGACTTTCCATGCCTGACCTAGAACCCGCCAGTTGGCCCAGGCTGCGGGGCCAGAGTGCCTGACCCCAGGCCTACACACCCGCCCTTTTTCCAGGCACCATCGGCTTGTCCTGGACCTTCCTGCTCTACGGACTGACCGCTGTCCTCGGCCTGGGCTTCATCTATTTATTTGTTCCTGAAACAAAAGGCCAGTCATTGGCAGAGATAGACCAGCAGTTCCAGAAGAGACGGTAGGAAGCTGACAGGGTGGGTCTGGGGGAAGAGCTGTATCACACCCCAAGCACATGGCTTCAGGATTTTCATCTTTGTGCTTTCCCTTTGCAAGCGGGCATTCCTCCTGTCTTCCTGGGCACTATGAGTTTTGTCCGGTCACACACAGCTGTTTTCCTTGAGTTGTTCTGTGTCTCCCTACAGTGCCTTTTCATTTGACTTTAAGACCCAGCTCACAAGGATTTAAAAATCATTTGATTATGGAATACAGGAGGCTAGAACAGTGGAATCTTAAAACCATAAACTATCTTAGAGTCACTGGACCTTGGAGAAGCAAAACATTATAACTATGGCCTTTAAATATTGCATGCAAAACACCTGGGGGCTTCATGCATTCATTCTGCGGCTATTTATTAAGTCCTTACTATGTGCCAGACAGTGTTCAGAGCCTTAGGAAACTTGCAGAGATTAAGGAAGACAAAGTTCCTGTCCTCAAGGAGCTTCCATTTGATGGGGGAGGAAAGACAACACATGCATAAACAAGAGCATTTTAGTTGGTGGTGGGTGATTAGGAGAAAATGAAACAGAGCAAAATATGTTGAGAGGGCCAGGTTGACACAGGGGGAACAAAGAAGAAAGGGGTTGTGGCTGAAGTAGAGTGGGTGGTCAGGGAGGGAAGTCCTCTCAGAGGAGGTGGAATTTAAGTCAGTGAGAAGGAGGCACCCATGTAACGATGAGGGGAGGAGCATTAGGGAGAAGGAACAGCAAGTGCAAAGGCCCTGAGGTGGGCATGTATCTGGCATGTGCAAGGAACAACAAGGAAGCCAGTGTGCCTGGAACAGAGGGAGGGAAGGGCATGCAGGGTCAAACAGGCTAGGTGGGTAGGAGCTAGATCACATCAGGTCTTCGGGTCATTAAGGGGAGTTCAGAATCATAGCATCATGAGACTATTCAAATAAAAGAAGAGTGGAATGGGAGCTTCGGAAGGAACTTCAAAGTGCTACAATCCTAAGCATCCTTGGCAAATGTCCCCAGTTACCTCTTGTAAGTAGGTGATAGTCACCAGCTCCTGACTGCCCATTCTGTTTCTGGGAAGTCATACAAAGTTTAAAAAAAAATTTTAATATTGACTAGCATCCCTGCACCAGCTTCTAAGCCCCACCCTAATCTGGCTCCTGATGTAAGAACCCGTAACCCAGTCCTCCCCACTCCAGAATGTCCTCTCCTACTTTGTTGAGTGGCACCTTCTGCAGTTTCGGCAGGCCCCTCAGCAACCCAGCTGTATTAGTTAGGAAATCGATTTGGCTGCTTGAAGTTGTCCAAATGTCAGTTGGGGGTCCAGGACTGGGTGGAAGCTGTGTGCCATGAGGTCATGCAGGGTCCCAGGCTCCTTCTGTTTTACTACCGTGCCACCTCTTCCATATTGCCTTTCCTGCATGGCCTAAGGAGGTGCAACCCCACATACCTGCCAGAGGATGGGGGAGGGGGAGGGGTGGGCATAGTCCTCAAGGTCACTTCTGCCCACATGCCTTTGCATAGAACTTGGCTACACCTATGTGCAGGGGAGGCCAAGAAATGTGGTTTTCAATCTGGGTAGCCATGTGCCCAGCTGAAAATCAAGGGTTCTGTTACTGGACAGCTGCCTGGCATCTCTGCCACACTGGTTTTCTTGGGAGAAGATTCCAAATCCATCCTCTGAGATAAAAAGCAGAGGAGGCAGAAAGGCAGGTGGGAGCCAGCTTTGGGGTAAGGCAGGATGTGACTGCAGCTGTGGGGTGTCAGGCTGGTCCTGGGGTTACATGGGGGAGCAAGGGCCAGCCCTTGGGGACTGGAGGCTGGGTCTGCTCTGACTCTGGAGAAGACAGGAAGTTAGGGGTTTTCGTGGAGTCCGGAGGCAGGTCTGTGTTTCATCATCTCTGTCCCTAGAGTTCAGGGGACTCAGAGGCCACAGAGAGAGAGAGAAACTCAACTTTGGGAACACAGGACCAGGGCATGTCCAGGGATTTTGACAACAGGAACTAATGGGATAGTCTTTTCAGCAGCAACTATTTTCACTCCTGTGTCCTCCATCAAAAGTCATGGTCCCAGGAGAAAGTCTGATTGGCCGAGGCTGGTTTATGTGCCCACCTCCTAACCTCTAACTTAGCCAGGATAGGGTAGAGATCCTTGATTGACAGTCCAGTCAAGCCACATGCCACAGAGTAGACTAGTTCCCCCAAAATGAGAGGCAGATGCCGGTAGAGCTGTCACCCACTGCTGTAGGGCTGACTTCTTCTGCATCCCTATGCCTCAGATGTGCTTGTTGGAAATGGGGACCTACATCTTGTAGATCCAGTTTCTCTACCTGCTTTAGGGACACATTAGTAACACAAGGGGCTCAAATCGTCTTACATCAATCAATGGCAGTTGGTTGCCGAAATGTTGTTTATTTTGCTTTCTGTCAAGTTATTTCTGTTCAAAAGAGACCTTTACCAATCCCTCAGGGGATATAATAACAACAACAACAAAAAAAAACTTTCAAAAATTCCTGTTTTATCCTAGTTTCTCAGGAATCGATTCATTCAACTTTCAGCAAATATTTTCAAGTGCCAGGCACTGTAGTAGGCTCTGGGGACAGACCCGTGACCGAGAGAGACCCTGTCTCTGGACTTAGAAGGAAGTTACATTTTAATGTATAGGAGAGAGAGAGACTACAAAACTCAAAAAATGCACAAATAAGATAATTCAGAGTTTTTAGATCATGAAGAAAATAAGGCAGGTTAACCTACCAGAGAGTGAACAGCAGATTTGGGAGATGGATACAGTTTCTTTAGCTAGGCTGCAAATAGCTATGGGTGCATTTGTGTTACAAGTGTATCAGGAATTTTCAACAACCACGGGATATTTTTGTGTATTGGTTTCACTCACTGCCCTGTTCCCAGGGCCTAGAACAGTGCCTGGCACTGTCATCTTTAACCATGTCTCTGGCTGAATGAATGATGCTCAAGGAAGGCCGCTCTGAACTGAGACTGGAATTACGAGAAAAAGTCAGCGGTTTCAAGAGCTGGAAGAAATGTTCTAGGTGGAGGGAACAGCAAGAGCAAAGGCCCTGAAGTGGAAACAAGTTAGGGGTTTTGAAGGGAGAGACAGGAGGCCCAAGTGGCCGGGGTGTGATGAGCAAATGGGATTGGAGGGGTTGGTGTCGGGGAGGGCGGCCATGGTGAGAAGATGGGATGTTAGGCTGAGCATGATGATGGCTTCCTTCTGAGCAGGTGTATTAGTCCGTTCTTGCATTGCTATGAAGAAATGCTGGGTACTTTATAAAGAAAAGAGGTGTAATGGGCTCACGGTTCTGCACTCTGTACAGGAAGAATGTCGCTGGTGTCTGCTCAACTTCTGGGGAGGCTTCAGGAAACTTACAGTCATGGCGGAAGGCGAAGGGCAGTCAGCACATCTTACATGGCGGCAGCAGGGGGTGGCGGGAGCAGGGGAAGGTGCTACACACTTTTAAATGACCAGATTTCATGAGAACTCACTTACCATCTCAAGGACACTACCGAAAGGGATGGTGTTAAACCATTCGTGATAAACTGCCCCCATGATCCAATCACCTCCCATCATGCCCCACCTCCAACACTGGGAATTACAATTGAACATGAGATTTTGGTGGGGACACAGATCCAAACCGTATCAGTGGGGAGTGACAGATTTTTGCGTTTAGAAAGGTCACTGTGAATGTAATGGTGACAAGGGGTTATAGGAGGTCAGGGAAGACCCTGGGAGACCAGGGAGGAGCTGCTGGGGGTCCAAGTGAGAGAAGATGGACATTTGTAGCAAGGCAGGAAGCAGGAAGGGTCATTGTAGGAGTGAAGGTGGGATTGGGGGGTGGGAACTCCAGTGGAAGGTCCACCCCCCCAGGGACGGCCCCAGGCCTTGCCACCGCATGATCCCACACATTCTCTGTTTGACAGGTTTGCCCTGAGCTTTGGCCACAGGCAGAACTCCACTGGCATCCAGTACAGCCGCATTGAGGTCTCTGCAGCCTCCTGAGGAATCCGTCTGCCTGGAAATTCTGGAACCATGGCTTTGGCAGACCGTCTCCAGCATCCTGCTTCCTAGGCCCCAGAGCACAAGTTCCAGCTGGTCATTTGGGAGTGGCCCCTGCCCCCAAAGGTGGTCTGTTTTTCCTGGGGTAAAAAGGATGAAAGTCTGAGAATGCCCAACTCTGAGGGTTTCTGAGGATCTAGCTTCATGCCTCAGTTTCCCCATTGACTTGCACATCTCCGCAGTATTTATAAGAAGAACATTCTGTGAAGTCTTTGTTACACCATGGACTTTCTCACAGAATCTCAAGGGTACCAATCCTGGCAGGAAGTCTCTCCCGATATCACCCCTAAATCCAAATGAGGATATCATCTTCTCTAACCTCTTTTTTCAACTGGCATTTTGGGGAGGGAGAAATCTCTTTTTTTACTCTTACTTTTTTTGAGGCAAAGTCTCACCCTGTCGCCCAGGCTGACATGATCTCGGTTCACTGCAACCTCCACCTCCTGGGTTCAAGCAATTCTTGTGCCTCAGCCTCCCAAGCAGGTGGGACTACAGGCGCATGCCACCACGCCCAGCTAATTTTTTGTATTTTTAGTAGAGATGGGGTTTCGCCATGTTGGCCAGGCTGGTCTCGAACTCCTGAGCTCAAGTGATCCGCCTGCCTTGGCCTCCCAAAGTGCTCGGATTATAGGCCTTTTGACTCTTTTGTCTGAGTTTTATTCGACCCCTCTAATTCTCTTACCCAGAATATTTATCCTTTGCCAGCAACTCTGACTAGTTGATAGAAGGCTTCAGCTCTAGTCCTTGGTCTGCTGGTGTCATTGCTGTATGAATGACCATGGGCCTCAGTTTCCCCACTTGTATAATGGGAAGCCTGGACCAGGTCATTCTTAAGATTTCTGTTGACTCCAGTGAGCTGGAATTCTAAATGCTGGTCCAGGAGCTGTCTCCAGGATGGCACAGGATGGCTTTGCAGAAAGGAGATAGGTTTGGAGGCCAACAAACCTGTTTGTCAATATTGCCTTTGCCTCTTGGCAGCATTTGAACCTGGGTAAAAAACAGCTCCCTGAACCCTCAGTTTTCTCATCTGCAGAATGGGGATAATTATGTCTCAGGGGTGTATTTAGACCCTGTTTCCCTTCAGGAGGGTCCCCAGCTGGTCCAGGAACTGGGAAATTTCTACTCATCCTGTTACCCAGGTCCCTCCTCTGGACCCAGTAAAGGGTCAGGGTGAATCAGATAGGGGACTGAGCAAATCAGATATGGGACTGGAGATCACTTAAGGAAGGGACTGACAAGAAGCTCCCAGATGCTGGGGAGAATGAAGAGCTAAGATAGGTCCTAAGGTGCTGGATGCTTTGTCATTCATGCCTGCACACATGGATGCTGGCAGAGCGCCCAAGGACTCTGGTCCCTCGAGTTCTCCTGTCTTCTCCATTCTAGATGCTTCCGGTGGTGTGCTGGAGCTGGCTTTGCCGGCTTTTGAGAGCTGATTGCTACACTTTCAGGATTTTTGCAAGTGTAAACACAGCCATTATAAAAAATTAAATGACTTAAATGTATAATTCAATACATTATATTAAAACAAATAATTATACTCAAAACTCATTACCTAATTTTACTACATGTTACTATTATCTGTGCTCTTGAGACTATTTATATATAGTAACTCTTACAGAGACCTAGGGGAGATACCGCACGTTTCTTCCTGATTCTCCACTCAATGACATCACGTTAGTTTGTCTTTGATTGGTTAACTGGCTGCGGGGAGTATTTTTGTATCACAAAGATTAGAGAGGACTATACATCAGGGCTTGATTTATTGTTTTGTTGGTTTTCTAGACTTCAGAACATGCTGGATTAAATGTCAGTAATGCACATTAAACTTTAAAGTATGTCTTGTTTATAGCCAATACAGTGTGAATAGCACCAAAATATGAAGAAACTGTTCTTCCAATAGTCAGACACTATTATCCATTTCAGCTGACAGCTTCTCAAATCATTGAAGAAACTGGAGTTCTGACGTTCATCTTCATTGTTTTACTTTTGTCTTCCTCACTAATGTAAACAAAAATTTCAACCAGCATTCATGCCAAACTTATATGCATTCTTCAGCGTCTTGCTGTAGAGTAATCAGGGATTTTTATTCATAGTCTAACTTTGTCAAATCATGGCTAAATCGCTGTGATAGTTGGCTTTGGATACAAGAGCTTGGCAAAAAATTAGCAAAAGATTCTGTAAGGATTAATAATTGGCTATATGGAATTTAGGGTAAAGAGTGTTTACAATAAAGAATATTTACAATAAAGAGTTTATTATTATTTGTAAATTGTGTGCAACAAACATATCCTTTATCTCTGTAAAATTTATACACAAAAAAATTAACAAAAGATTCTGGAAGAATTAATTGGCTGTATGGAATTTAGGATAGAGTATTTACAATAAAGAGTCTTTACAATAAAGAGTTTATTATTATTTGTATATTGTGTGCAACAAACATATCTTTATCTTAGTAATATTTACGTGCACACACATACACACACATTTCTTCCCTGGAGAGCTGTTGTTAAACATTTACCAGCACACTACTGCTTAGAGCTATGCTTGTGGCCCCTTCAGATCTCTTCTCTCTCTAAGGACCCATAAACCACACTCAATTCTCCTTTCCTCTGCTATCAGCCTAGAAGAATGCGCTCCTAGTCCTAGGGTGAATTCTCGCCTTTCTTGCGCCGGGTTATAAACTTGGGGTTCACGTAGGGAATACAAATGAGTGAAGCCATTTAAGACATTAGGGAGTAGTGGGGTCTGTGGGAATGGGGAAACACAGGGCCTTTTTTTTTTTTTTTTTTTTTTTTTTTTTTTTGAGACGGAGTCTCGCTCTGTCACCCAGGCTGGAGTGCAGTGGCCGGATCTCAGCTCACTGCAAGCTCCACCTCCCGGGTTTACGCCATTCTCCTGCCTCAGCCTCCCGAGTAGCTGGGACTACAGGCGCCCGCCACCTTACCCGGCTAGTTTTTTGGTATTTTTTAGTAGAGACGGGGTTTCACCGTGTTAGCCAGGATGGTCTCGATCTCCTGACCTCGTGATCCGCCCGTCTCGGCCTCCCAAAGTGCCGGGATTACAGGCTTGAGCCACTGTGCCCGGCCAACACAGGGTCTTTCTATAAGGGTGACCGACCCTCAATTCCAACTGGTGTCTCCCATGTAGGAATGTGGGCCCAATGTGGCATGGCCATCTGTATTTTCAACAAATTACAGAAATTCACACTTTGGTGCAAATTTTATTGATTTTTAAGTTTTGGCAATTGATTCCAAACTTAAAAATAGCTTGTAAGTTAAACAAAATACTCCATGGCTAGATCATGACCTTTAGTCTGTGCCTCTAATCTTGATGTTTTTCCGGCTGAGATATTCCTTTCTTCTGCCTATTTGAGGCACTCAGCTTAATCTCGTTAAAGAATCACGGCTTTTGGGCTGGGCTTGGTGGCCTACACCTGTAATCTCAGCACTTTGGGAGGCCAAGGCAGGTGGATCACTTGAGGCCAGGAATTCGAAACTAGCCTAATCAACATGGTAAATCCCCACCTCTACTAAAAATTAAAAGATTAGCCGGGTATGATGGCACTCACCTGTAGTGCCAGCTACTTGGGAGGCTGAGGCAAAGAATTGCTTGAACCTGGGAGGCGGAGGTTGTGGTGAGCCAAGATCGCGCCACTGCACTCCAGCCTGGGCGACAGATCGAGACTCTGTCCCCCCCACCAAAAAAAAGAAAAAAAGAATAATGGCTTTTGAAAAATAAAGTGCCAAGCAAACTGAATAGCCATCATTTGAACTGGGTGCATGAAGGGGCTGTTATTGAACCTGAAGGATGAGACACCAGGAGGGTATGAAAATAGTCCACACCTCAAGCAAGCATCTTATATTGGCAAAATTAGTGCATGACTTGGGGAGTTGTTTGTCTCTATTATGGGGATGACACTACTTAGTCTTCAGAGATGATATGTGTCAGTCACTTAGTGCATTGTTCATAGTGGGTGCTGCTAAATGGCTGTCTCAGCAGCCTCCAGGGGCATCTGGCTTTAGGTAAGGATAATGAGGCCAAAGACCAGGTGGTAGTCTGGATTGGGAGAAGGGGGCATCAAAGTAAGCTAAAAATTTTGGGGGGAACCAACTAGGTGCTCAGTTAGGAGGGTTCTATGTTTTTTGTTTGTTTGTTTTTGTTGTTTGTTTGTTTGTTTTGACAGGGCTTGCTCTGTTGCCCAGATTGGAGTGCAGTGGTGCGATCTAGGCTCACTACAACCTGAAACTCTGGAGCTCAAGCGATCCTCTTGCCTCATCCTCCCAGGTAGCTGGAATTACAGGCATGCACCACCACGCCTGGCTAATTTTTAAATTTTTTGTAGAGGTGGAGTCTCCCCATGTTGCCCAGGCTGGTCTCGAATTCCTGGGCTCAAGCAATTCTCCCACTTCGGCCTCCCAAAGTGCTGGGATTACAGGCATGAGCCACTGCACCTGGCCAATGCTCAAAGGTCTTTAGCACCAACCAGAAAAGAGAAGCAGTCTGTTCATTGATCTGCAGGGAGAGCACTGGGAAATTCTTCTCCTTCCCCCAGGTAACGCCAGAATCGCTTCAGGGAAGCAGTTCCCAAATCTCAGTCTTGTGTACAGCCCTTTAATAAAATATGCCCATCACTTAGCACCTTTGGTTATTTGCCAGATTGTACTACACAGACTACTTGCTGAGTGCTTTTCTTCACATTGATTTGCTATTCCACTTAAATAAATGTATTTTAAAAGGAAACTATGTTAACCTATTTTTTTTCAAATGCATATTTATTGAGTGTCTCATATGTGCCAGTCACTGTTCTAGATCCTGGGGTCACAGCAGTGAACATAAGGTCCCCGACCTCATGGAGCTCTCCTAAGGGAGATAAATTCTAAACAAAAGATAGGGAGGAAGGGAAGGAGGAAAGGAAAAAGGAAGGAAGAAAAGAAGAATGAATGAAACAAGGAAGGAAGGAGAGAAGGAGGGAAAAGTAAGTAGGTAGAGAGAGGTTAATTAGTATGTGTGCTAAAAAAAAGTTGAAAAGCTAAAGAGAGATGGGTGAAGTTCAGATGCAGATGCTTTTATGCTATGTTAGCGAGAGTCGCTAGGGCAGTCAGGGAGAGCCTCTTTGAGGTGTTGGCATCTGAGCAGAGACCTGCATGAAGGGTTAGAATGAGCCATGAGATGATCAGGTAAAAGCATTCCAGGCAGATGGCACAGCACGTGCAGAGGCCCCAAGGTGAGACCAAGCTTGGCATATCAGAGGAGCATCAAGGGGGTGTGAGCGAAGGGCAGAAAGATGGAAGAAGAGGAGGCTGAGCTCAGCAGGGATCTGACTATGAAGGGTCTTCCAGACCATGGAAATCCCTCAGATTTTATTCCAGATGTGTTGGGAAGCCCTGAAGGGGTGTGAGCAGTGGACTGACATGATCTGACTCGATGCTATAAAATACTCATTGGATGTTGGTGAACACACAAAGCGAATATCAACTGCAGAAATAGGAAGAAAACACTAAAATACTATGAAAGCAACAGTTTCACTAAATTCTCACCGGCCATTGTTATCTACTGAAGATTCTGAACCTGAGGTCTGCTCTGTAATGAAAAGGGGAGCTTAGCAAGAGTGAGAGCGGTGTTCAAGACATAGTAGCAGCAACTGAAGACTTTCTCTTTGTCTTGATTGAAAGAACAACAATGCAATTCGTCATATTTATATGGTGTTTGTGAACCACCTAAAATCATTTCCAATGCTATTGGTATTATGCTTCTGACTCTGGTAAATACAACTCTAAGTGAGAACACCAAGGAAGTCACAAGCACCAAGAGAGGTGTCCTCTTGTTACTTTCTCATGTCAGACCCTCCTAGAGAGAAACATTGACCTTCAGCATGGAACTAGTTTAGAGTAGAGTGAGGTCCCTGCAGCCAATGTCCTCCCAGGTAGGAGTGAAGGAACCAGGTGAGGTGGCTTCCTTCGGGAGAGGAGAGGCTGTGTAGATGCCGCTACTACCTTCCTGCTGCTTCTGAAGGGCTGGCCATTCAGAGAGGCAAAGGATAAGAGAGGGGACCGGATGTCAAACCAAACACTTCCCATGCCTGAGGTCATCAAAGCCACAGGGGCAGGGTGGGGGGAATTTCCATCCCTGTCTTGTCAATGAGGAAGTGGAGGCTGACGAGGCTGATGATGGACCCTCTTGGCTTCTGCCGGCCACCTCTGTGGACTAACATCCTCATAGGTTACCCTTTACCAGTCTGGCCTCTCCCAGTTCCTGGACTGTGAAATCCCAGAAACCGATGTTTCATTTTATTTCACACACCCTGAGGAGCTCAGCCTCAAACACCACTCACTTTCAAGGCTTTATCTCAAACATCCTATTTCCTGGTCACCACATCCTTACATTTCTGCTAATACTCTAATACTCTCTCATGGCAACAGTTCTCTGATCTCATGAAGACCTCTGACCTCTAAATGCTAACCCATGACCTCACCCCTTTCTCAGAATCTATGAACCAACCTCTTCCTGCCTTCACTTCCCTTCTTGTCTATCCAAGATCCCATAGCCGAACCTTATAATCCATCCTTTGCAAACATCCCCTTGTGCACTTGGTAATGCTAATCTCAGATCAATTTACACACCCATCTTCTCTGCTTGCACGTGGGCTCTGAATGTTGTAAGAGAGAGAAATCACACAACCTGACAAACAGGTTTCACTTAAAGTTCATGAGTTCAAGCCTCAGATTCACCCTCCAAACCCTCTTATGGCACACATTCCTGCTCCACAATTCAGCGATTTGATATGGTCTCCTTGACTGAAACTGTCCTGTCTCTTTCACCTCCCTCACTCTCAGCTGCTAACCCTGTCTCATACTTCACTGAATGAACAGAAGTTCTCAGGAGAGGTATGGAGGCTGGCCCCTAATATCCACCTCTTTTATTCACAGTCACAGAGTCTCTGATGTTTAGCTGGGAACATGGCTGCCCAGACCAAACACTGCATTTCCCAGGTTCCTCTGCAGCCAGGTGGGACCATGTGACCAAGTTCAGGCTGATGTGAGGGAACACAAGTGATGTGTTCCAGGTAAGCCCTATGGCAGAGAAGACTAGCTGTCCTTGGAAATTTATTCTCCCTTGTTTCTTTTTAATAAAAGAAATCCCTTTGTTTTAGCTAGATACATGGCCATCTAGCTAAATATGACTTTTCCCAGCTTCCCTTGCAGCAAGAGGGCCATGTGACCAAGTTCTGGCCAATGGGATGAAAGCAGTAGTGATGTGGCATCTTCTGGGTCATTTCCTTAAAAGAAAGATGTTTGCATAAAATCAACATGCATTTTCCCCTTTTTGCAGGCCAGAGTGAGTATATGGTGGTCAGCTTCCACCATGAAGACAAAGACAAGGGGACGGTGGAACAAGATGGAAGGTGGCTGGATCCATGGACA